AGCTCGAATACTTTTAATTTATAGAAATCGTGGACCCATCGCAGGGCGCGGCAGCCTTGAGCAGGTACTCAGTATTTAACTTTCCCAACAGATGCATGCTGTCGAGACCTCATGTTTCTCCCTCATTTAGAAGATGGTTATATGTTAACAAACCATGTAATCAAGGAATTAGCTGTTCAACGTGTTAGAGACTGTCGATCTCAATGTTTCCTCCACTGCGATTGTCAATCTTATAACATTGGACCGTCTTCAGAGCCAGGCAAAAAGCTCTGCCAGATCAACAAAGCTGACAAGCACATCTTTCCTGACGATTTCAAACAGGTCTCAGGATTTCTTTACCACGAACTGCAACAGGTTTGTTATGCTGATGGATTATTCTATTTAGGAGCTACTGACAAAAAATATGACACTTAATATTGCCTGGTCTCAAAATTACAGCACAAACGGGAATAACCTCGTAATACTAGGATAGAAAGAGTCTGACTAAACGTCGTGGGTCGTGGGTAAAAGTCGTGGGTACCAAAAATATATAAATAAAGAGCAAATCAAACCAGAAATCACAAAAATATCCAAACAAAACAAACCACGAGCAAGATTCTGTGTWTTTTAAAAACTTTCATAGTCCGATGAAAACTACATGAATGAAGTAAAGATGAGCAGAATTATCATTAAGATGCAAGACCACTTAACAATTTACTATGGTGTACAATATGACAGTGGTTGTTTGTTTGTTCTGATTGATGTCCAGTCCAGTCCCTGTCTTTTATTTTATCATGACCCCTGTGGAGGGGGATGAATATAAACATTAGTCACTAGTATTTGACTGTTTTCGCACTATTTTCGCTATTACATTTTAATTTTTTTTTTTATTGCATTTTTATTTTTTGCTTAGTTTTCCCAGTATTCGTTTAGCATTCGCAGTATTCGTTTAGTATTCGCAGTATTCGTTTAGTATTCGCGGTATTCGCTTAGTATTCGCGGTATTCGCACTGTTCGGGTTTTATCACTTGCCAACAAAACACTGATAAATCATTCAAGTCTTTAAGTACAATTTTATTTTATGCAATGCTCCATATGACAAAGTTGAGCACTTTTTTGGAAAACATTTCCGATAAGTTCATATCCTGGGACGTGCCAGTTGCCAAAATTCCTCTGTACCCACATCAAGTTGTATGCGTAATGAGTCCGGACTAAAATTAAATATAACCTTATTAAGCTCGTTGTTTGATTTTTTATGTTTTTTATGTTGTTTTTGATATTTTTGGTAACCACAATTTTTACCCACTACCCACGACTTTTACCCACTACCCACGACTTTTACCCACGACCCACGACCCACAACGTTTAGTCAGACCCGGATAGAAATATTTCATATGAACTTCTATAGTACAAAAGAATGTATATAGAGCATCTTTTAAAAGACATCTACAATTTTAATCCATCAAAATACAAACGTCTTTCAGAATCCATGCAGAACCAATTCTTGCGCAGTGAGTAAAACAAGTTCTTGTCAAGTTGTTTTGGGCAACAATGGATACAAATGTATATGCAAAAAAGGCTATCGTGGAGATGAATGCAATGAAGGTTAGTTTGTGCTTCCCATGAGCCTTTCCAGGATTTTCATTGGGGGGTTTCTTACATACCAAATTGTCACTGTGACGTCACATGACGTCATCATAATGTCATATCTATCTATGGCTTTTTTGGTTTTGAAAGGGGGGTCACGGGCACCCTGTAACCACCCTGGATACGCCCCTGCTTTCTTAGAATTACATGAATTGTTTGTTATTTTGTGACTAGTGCCACTAATTACCATTAGCAATTAATTACCAACAATAACAGCCACAACAATCATCTCAACACATAGTATAAGATAATTTCAGCACATTTATAATGTAAAAATTAGTGCGTTAATAGTAAACCAAGCAATGCTATAGAATGGGCAATTTAGTGAAGACTAGACAATGGAAAACGATGGAAGGAATTCTATATAATTAAGCAATATTAATCATAATTATTTTTTAAAAATAACACAACACTTTTAAATTTAAAATTTAAAAGTGTTGTGTTATTTTTAAAAATTATTGCATCACTTGTGCTTTTACGCTCACTTGGAAATGTTTTAATCATAATCAATGTTTTCAACTGTTTTTGCACTGAAATGATGATAATGTTATATTAATTATATGAGCAATTTTATTATTAATAATGATAAATAGAGGATGTTACATGACTTACATTGTCGCGCGGTCGAAGATACGGATTTTATCTTCGAGAAAATCTCTCAAGAGTGAGTGTAGCGAGTTTCGCGACATCTTTTACACTCTGTTAGCCTCAATTGTGTGCAAAATATTCAGAAATTTAGATAAAACTAGTGAAATTTCAATCTAATTCCATTGTCTTCTATACTCACGGATCTCTTGGATTTGCACGGGCTGTTAGTAGATAAAAGAATGTATTACATGGTTTTGAGGCTAACACAGCGTAAAAGAGATCGCTAAAGGGTTTATTCCGTACTGCCGCTGTCATGACTACTGGTACTACACCTCCTACATGAGCCATTAGTCTCGACTGCCTTTTCATTATTTTTAATTACAGATGTTGATGAGTGCAAGGAATTACAGAACACAGGCTGTGCGTTGAATGCTCAGTGTATCAACACCGAAGGCTCATTTTATTGTCAGTGCCCATCAGATTATATAGGAGATGGCGTAACCAAACCTTGTATATGTAAGTTCCTCCAACAGAAAGCAGGATCTGTTATTTCAGGTTAAAAACGTAGCTAACGGGCTTTTCCGGACAAACCTCGTGTTCTGAATTTGATTGACAGCCTATTTAACTGTACATGCAGTGTAGACAAAGAACTTCAGGAGCATAATTAATATGTGTTGATAAATTGGCATTGGTATGGTGTTATACATGCTTACGACTTTAAAAACCAGAGTAGATTAGGAATTGAAGAAAATGCACTTCTGCTRTTGCTCAGTTTTTTTGAAGTATACGTAAAAAATTCACAAAATGACACTCTCAATACTTTTGTTAGGTTTTGTCTTCCTTCAAAATATCATTGAATATAATTKTGCATCATAATATGTAGTTATTGACTGAGTGGGAGGGTCGTACGGGAAAACCTCGAGCCAAATATTTTCCCGTACGGCCCGACCTAACTCAGTCAATAAGCATTTTATCATATGACAGCGTTTTTCAATGTAAAAAACAAATAAATAAATAAATAAATAAAATAAAAGCGCGCGGAACTTCAAGCCGGGAAGATAGGGTTTGTACGGCCCTGTCGCGAAAAGGCGTACGGCCCCCATCACGTGACCAATTTCCCGAAAGGTTTCTTAAGAGCGCGCGTAGGGCCGAAATACGGGTCATATGATAAGAGATTTTACGAWTCTCATCATACATTTGTATTAGTGCATATCTGAATCCACAATCTGTTTTAGATATCAATGAATGTGTGCTTGGCAACTTTTCATGTCCAAGTGGAACTACCTGTTCTGATCTTCCTCATCCAGAGTCATACGAGTGCAAATGTCCAGTCGGATTTGAGTATGTCGGAGRAAAATGTGAAGGTTTGTTTCTAGTGTTATGCGGCAAAAAATGTCAGWTGTTGTTTACTAAATCAGCATTGACACTCTCTTTGTTTAAGTAATACATATTATCAAATTGTTCATTTAAGGAATATTTCAGATTTATTATCTATTAACGATATTTCGTGACGAAAAAAGCTCCTTTTTSTAACGTGTATAATTATACATCCTCTGCAAGCCCCCTACATAGCMTCCTCTCTAGGCGACACTTCCTTTTGCCTTTGACATGCTCTCCTCTTGTTCGATTGAGGGCCTCATCTCTCATTTTTCTGCCGGGTAGCAGCATCCCTCGGTCATATTGATTGAGAAAGCCAAAAAGCCCAAGAGTACAAGAAAGAGCAGAAAGGAAGACAGATCCCTGAGGAGAGTAGCTCCCAGACGTCCTACATTTGATTGTTTAATAGACAATTTAAATAAAAAACTATTTATACAGTAGAGTATTTAAAACGAGGGCATTACACGCTGTTATGGTTTCCCGCGGACACTGGATGTTTTAGAGCGACATAAAGCTTTGAGGAACATCCTGTTTACAAGGGCAATTATCACAGCARAATGTCCGAGATTTCAACTACTCTATTTTTTTTATTATTCAAAAACAAAATTTTCTAAAGCGGCGGGCTCTGTGCACTGACATTAGCGGTGGATACTATCGCGTCACGTGTTCGATTCTCCACCAATGAGGGCGGAGGATATTAACTGTTTTTCTAAAACCACGAACAACATTCAACAGCCCACTTGCGAATAGCCGACTTGCGAATTACGCATCAATAGTCACATACAAAGGAATCAAGACGAGGCGCCGTGCTAAAGACAATAGATTTTTCACAAAAAAGCACGGCGCCTCGTCTTGATTCCTTTGTATGTGACTATTGATGCGTAATTCGCAAGTCGGCTATTGTCTTTTCACAAATGTCACAAGTCAGCTATTGTCCTACTTCATTATGACGTCACGCAATGTTTTTCTTGCAGATGTTGATGAATGCAATGAGTCTTTCTGTGACACTCATGCAGCTTGCTCCAATTTTGTTGGATCTTACAGTTGTTCCTGCAATGTTGGTTTTTCTGGCAGTGGTAAAAGAGATGAATGCTTTGGTGAGGATTKGCTAATAACCGCAAAAAATACAGATTTTTTTAGAAAAAGAAAAGTAGAATTTAATTTGATGGGGTGCAGTTTCTTATAAACGCTGTCTAAAAATAGACGATTTCTCATGCATACTAGTAAATACAACTAAATACTTATTACCCTAATGAGCTCTAATGACGAATCATTGACAGCAATCTCCCCATATTGATCATGGCGTCAAAGCACATACATTTGAAAATGAATCCAATGTGATTACATCGCAACAGTTTTTTCTCATTCATAAAATGCCAGTACACAAAAGGCACCATTGTGGTGGCAAATCAAAAGATTAATAAAGCCGTTGACAAGGTGCGAGTCTCTCCTTTTTTGCGCGCTTCAATGGTTACTTACGAAGACAGATCTCTTGGCATCCCACTTAGTAGTCCCATGTCACGACTAACGGCCTTCTACCGAATTCTATCAGGCACAATGATGGGGAAAGACGCCTTTGTTGCATGCTCGGTCGATAGAACTTGGGCTTAGCATTAATTGCATTGTTTTTGTACGGCCATTTTCTAATTGTTTGCGTTATATTTCAGGCAACGGAGAAAGGAATTCTCCTGGTAGAACTTGTTTGGAGATCAAAGAGAAGTTTAATAGTTCGGTAGACAAGGTGTATTATATTGATCCAAACTGGGGAAACCATGACGATTCTTATCCAATATGGTGCGATATGACCACTGATAATGGAGGATGGACGCTCGTATGGTCCTACATAGTACAAAGTTATGGAACTCTTACATTTAAAAAGCCTGATAATGCTGTCAATCCAACACCAAAAGGCTACAGTGATCAAGGCGCTTCGACATCAGAAAATCCACCTCTACAATACAATARACAAGGTGCAATGGAGTACGCGAAATGGTCGTCGATCGGTAATTCCTTCCTTATTAAATCACCAATAAACAGCTGGATAGCATGTCATATTGACCGACAACACCATGGTTTGATTACCAGTAAAAAGGATGGGGAAGTCCCATGCAAAATTSTGAAACAATACGGTGGGGTTTTGAATGGTTGCACAGCCGTAGTACCAAACTACATTAAGTTCGACGAGTGTGGGGTTAGTATTATGGTAAAACCMAGCACTGGACCCATTGGCATCGTTTATCGTCTGGAGACCTGTGCTGACAAGTACTGGCCGATCCATGATCCATGCGGGAAAAATTCCACCACTCCCATAGCTGCAATTGGTGGCTCGTTGAACAGTGTGTTTATTAGAAAATAATCTGTATGCGATATCCGTACAGAAAACTTATCAATAATCGCTTAGATTATTATAATTCTTTGCGACGATCATTATTCTTTACTCATTTATTCACCGCACTTCAAACCATCATTTCATCACTTGTTACTATCTATGTATGGCTTCACCCAATGAAATGACCGCTCGCCAACATAGCTTTATAAATTGGTAGAACACTGCACCGGCATCGCAGAGGTCACGGGTTCGATTCCCGTTGAAGCCCGAAATGATCGTCGATCATTATTCCTTACACCAAAAAACATCAAGTGGAGAGTTTTAAAAATGTCATAGTTCTCATCCTCACTATTATTGTATATATAGAAGACATACCACAAATGTCCGTATAGCACCAGGAAACAACAATCCGTGTCTTCTGCTTTTTAAAGTAATTTCAGTCACTTCACTTCAATACTTTTGATATAAGAATTCGATTTTTATTAATTCAGTTTGTTTTGAAGACATTTCAACATGCATAGTCACATATGAATAACTTATGTTGAATGTCTATCTATGTACACAGTCTTTCTATCCAAACTCCTATCGCGACTACAA